TGTAATAGAAACCGCATCCTCTCTAGTGCATTGTACCATTTTAGTAGGAGCAGTGTCTTCTAATACAGATTTCACAATAACTCAAGAGAAATATTGACAAACAAGGCATATAAACAGATTTTCCACTTCATATTTTGTTTTTCTGTGATGACTGTCATGGTATTCCACTTATCAGCTCTCCATGCAAAGAATAAGAATTTTCTTGGTCACAGCTAAACATGTGACTGGTTGGATGAAGTTCTTACTGTACATCATGGAATTTCTTACCTGTGCTACCTCCTTGGAATTTTTCCAATCAACACATTTAAGTACTTTTGGCAATGAATGTGGCAACAAGTTCCTACAATCAATTCGATACTTCCACACTAATGTTGTATCTTGGTCGTCTAGCGGAACCAGGGGATCACGGTCGACTATTGCTTCCAGCTTTTTAAATGTATCTGGCTGTAAAACAAAGTATACAGCTGTTATCTTCATTTATGATGAAAATCGCAGGTACTGTAGAATACTTTATTTTCACAATTTTCGCTGAAGGGATGATTCCGTGAAAATAAAATCCAGCGAATATACTTTTTTTCCTATATTTCACATTAAACTCATCAAAAATCAGTGAAAATAAATTCCATACAAAACGCCCAAAAAGCCTTTTCAGCGAAAATTAATTCCAGCAAAAATAAAGTATTCCACAATATATCAAGATATCTATTGGTCAACTGTCCTATATCAGACATAGTAGAGTACACCTAAGCTTACTACCGGTACTTGCCATTGCTTGCATATACACAAAAACACATCGAATTGCCAACAATTTGAACCATACCATTTACCAGTTGTCAATCATTGATATTCCCACAAAAGATGCAACAAGATTTGTTTGTTTCCATCAATAATTAATTTTCCTTCAATGACATTAAGTGTATTTCGTGCAAAATTGGAACACAAACATTCAAAGTGAATGTGGAGTGATAGACTTTGATGAACTGACTTTAGAAGCAAATAACCATCAAGATATTGTTGATGGCAAAGAGAACCACGAGACTTGTTTTTCGGAGCATCCAATAGAGTTTCATTTTCTACCCTCATCGCATCCAATGTTACTCAGACTTGTGTAGCTACGGTATTTAGATTAGTAGATCCAATGACATGAGAGAATGAAAAACTATTCAAGGGGTAAAAACACTTACCTTTTTTTGTCTTTTATCATCTTACACGTATTTATGTTCTAAATTTTATGTTCCGTATGTAAACTTATGTATACGCCACTGTGCTACTCTAGAGCATTAAATTTATAAGTCTATTCTTTTTATATTTTTTTTCTTCTCTTAGTTTGTTGGTTTTGTATA